TTTTAATTTTTTTGTTTTTCTGAGACAGGGTCTTGCTATGTAGTTCAAGCTGGCCTTGAACTGACTGTGTAGCCCAGGCTGGCCTCAAACTCACAGTGATCCTCCTGCCTCAGCCTCCTGAGCGCTAGGACCACAGACATGTGCCACCATACTGGGATCATCTTGAGAATCTTTAATTGAGTCAGAGAGTTTAAAGATGTAAGCAAAAGTTGGGAGGATAGACTTACAAGTGAGACGCAGGAGAGAGTGAGAGGAGAGTCTGTCTTTACATGTTTCTCCCATACCATAAGCTGTTTCTGCATCTTGACCTTCTGGACCATTAATTCAATTTCCAAATAGCTAGTCCACCTTTCAACAGTCCATATGTTTTTAATACTTAAATTCATGGTTTCTCTAGTTCTAGAAGCTTTCTTTCTTTCTTTTTAGCTGTCATGATTTATTGCTGTTTTGGCTACATTCTCTGCAATCTCAGCAGCATCTTAAAGAGACAGTTTGTCTATGTACAATGAAAAAACAAAACAGTAGGGGGGCGAAGGGAGGGCAGGGGTATGGGGAAGAAATGAGAACCAAGACCTGTCATGTAAAGGTACAAGATCCCAAGGATGAATGTAACTGTACTGTAGACCTAAAATGTACCAATAAACTCAATAAGGGAAAAAAAAAAAAAACGGCTTTCAACATTAGAAATAATAGCTACAGTTTAACTGTACAATATTAAGGGGATTCTGTGGTAGGCACAGCTTCCAGAAACTTTCTTATGCTCAACTGCCTCAGAAGTTCTTTTTCTGTTTTGATTAATTTTCTTTTGTAATTCTTCCATCAGTTCACTAGGAGCCACTTATTTGACTTATTTCACTTATTTGAAAAACAAAACAAAACAAGAAAAATAGCCCTTGAGCACATTAAAGGGTAATCGATGTGATTGTGTGGTGTTTTTGTTTGTTTGTTTGGTTCTTTGAGACAGGGTCTCACTATGTAGTTGAGACTGACCTGGAACTCACTATGTAGCCCAGGCTGGTCTCGAACTCACAGCGATCCTCCTGCCTTAGCCTCCCAAGTGCTGGGATTACAGGTGTGCGCCACCACACCCAGGATAATGAGAAGTGAGCTTTTTTTTTTTTTTGTACCAGGGATTGAACTCTGGTCCTGAGCCAAATCCCCAGCCCTCGATGTGACTGTGAATAAGTTACATACAAGGAAAATGGGAATCTCACCATAGATCCCATAAGTAATGAAAAAACAAAGGAAACATCTCACATGCTAATACATTGGAGAAATCAGGCGAAATGGACAAATTCATCAGAGAACACAAATTATTAAAGGTGACACAAGTGACACAGGAAGTTATATGACACAAAATAGTCATATAAAACACATTTAATCCATAATTTGAAATCTCTGACAAAGAGAACTCATGCCTAGACAGCTTTATCAGCAACTTCTGCCAAATACCTCACAAGACTGAGCCCAGCCTAGGCAATGTGGTGACTTAGTGAGACCCAGTCTCAAAATATTAAAAACAAAGACTGCAGATGCAGCTCAGTGCAAAGGACTTGGGTTCAATCCCCAGTACCGGAAAAACAAACAACAGCACAAAAAACCAACCCAAAATGGGGAGGGGGCACTGGGGATGCAGCTCAGTGGATTTGACCTCCAGTACCACAAACACAAAGAAAGAAAGAAAGAAAAGAAAAGAAAATTTGAGAATTAACAGGTTTAGCAAGGCATTATAAACAAGGCCAACATACAAGAATTAAATGTCATATATCAGGAAAAACATACAAAATGAAAGGTAACATTTGCAGTAGCATAAAAATATAAAATGTCTAAGAATAAGTCCAATGAAATGTTACAAAGTAAGCCTCTAAATAGCACGAGAAACACAGTGAGATCAAAACAAATGGAGACATTTGCCACGGTCATGGACTGGAAAATGTGATACAATGTGAAGATGTCTATTAGGCCCAAATTACTCTATACATTGAAATGTAATCTCAATCGAAACCCCAATTTCATGTACAGTTTAAAAGGCTGATTCTGAAAGAATCAATAATTGCCACATTTTTTTCAGTAATGGAGATCAGATCCAGAGTCTCTCACATGCTAGACAAGCACTCTACCACTGAGCTACATTCTTTAGCCCAACTATGCCATTCTTTTTATTTATTTATTTATTGTTTGTTTGTTTGTTTTTTGAGATAGGGTCTCACTATGTAGTTGAGACTGACCTGGAACTCACTATGTAGCCCAGGCTGGTCTCAAACTCACAGTGATCCTCCTGCCTCAGCCTCCCAAGTGCTGGGATTGCAGGTGTGCGCCACCATGCCTGGCTTGTGCCATTCTTGAATGAGGACAAAAGAGACTTTTAAAAAAATTAATTTTATTTTGTTTTATCCCATTGTCTTCCTCAAGCCCCCTCAAAGACGGGACCTTTAAAAATAAAGCATCAAAGATTATAATAAAGCTATAGATGGTGTGATATAAAGACACAGCAATGAATTGATGAATAGAATTTTTAAAAGCTCAGAAACAGATCCCGGGGATATATATACATGTGATTTACAACAAAGGTAGCCCTGCAGAAGAGCAGCTATTGACAGTCTTTTTAATAGATGGTGTTTGAAAAATATAATTACACACCTCTTCAAAGAAAGAATACATATTATGGAATTCCATTTACGTGAAGTAGGAAATGTAAGATAAATGTAAAAGGTACAAGGAAGAAAGGAAGGACAGAAGGGAGGGAGTGAGGAAGGGAGGAAAAGGGACAGGAAAAGCAAGGAGGAAGAGAGGAATCACTTGTACACAAGAGGGGTAAAGTTCTTTAAGATTTCGTGAAAGAAAAAACTTTTTGAACATATGAAATACTAGGCATAAAGGAAATAACTGCTAAATTTGACATCACTTAATTAAGAAATTCTGATTATCAAATGATGTTAAGAGAAAAGAAGAATGAACCACGGGTGAAAGGAAGTATTTGCAACACACATGGTCACAAAAGACTCACATTCATAATACATATTTAAATTCCTTCAAATCAGTACAAACAAAAAACCAAAAAAACTGATTAAGGGATTTGAAATAGCACTTTACAAAAGATAGATACAAACAGCCAATAAATGAAAAGATGCTCAACTTTATTATGAATCAGCGCAATGCAAAATAAAATATAATATCACTACATACCTACGAGAAAGGCTAAAATTATACAGCGACAATAACAAGTGTTAGCAAGGACACAGAGCAATGACTATTCCCATGTGTTGCTGGTGGGATTTTAACCAGATGTAACCACTCTGGAAAACTGGTGTTATATACTGAAGTAGAAAACCTACACAGCCTGTGACCCAAGTTCACTCCTAGGTATATTAAACCTGATAGAAATGCATGTGAGTAGCACCAAGAGACACATAGTGTTCATAGCTGCATAATTCATAAAAGGCAAAAACTAGGGCCAGGGATTTAGCTCAGTGGTTCTGCCACCTGCCTTGCAAGCATAAGGTCCTGAGTTCAATCCCTGGTACCAAAAGACAAAAAAAAACCAACCAAACAACAACAACAAAAAAAGGCAAAAACTAAGAATAACGCAAGGGATCATTAGAAATGGAATGGATGAATACATTTGGTATGTTTAGAGGATGGTCAACTAAAGCCACATGCTGCAACATGGGTGAGCGTCATAAATGTAATGTGGATCAAAATAAGCCATCACAAAAGCATACACACTTTTAATTCCACTTATATGAAGTTCAAAAACAGGTAAAATGACACCAGTTTAGGGACACATGAATAGGGGATGAAGCCAAAAACAAAAGCAAGAAAGATGGCTGGGCATGTAACTCAATGGTAGAGTGCTTGCCTAGCAGGTGTGAGGCCCTGGGTTCAATCCCCAGCACGCCCCCCCACAGATACACAGACACACAGACACACACACACACACACACACACACACACAAGAGAGTAACATTAAGGTTGTGATTATCAAGCCGGGTGTGGTGGCGCACACCTGTAATCCCAGCACTCGGGAAGCTGAGGCAGGAGGATCGCTGTGAGTTCGAGACCAGCCTGAGCTAGATTGTGATTATCCAAAAGAGGGGGTAATGGGGGAGGGGACACAGGAAACTTCTAGAATGCTAAATGTGAATTATTTCTTTTTTGACCTCAGAAAGCAGTGGTACACTGGTGTTTGGTTTATGCTAATCCACTGAAATGTAGGTTTTGATTTTTTTCCTTTTGTTTACA